CTATACAAACTCTTGGAAAATTTCTGCCCTTTTTAAATGTTCACTTTTTAAAAACTATTAATATCCTTAATTACCTGCATAAATATCTACTTAATTAAAATTATTAAATATACAATTTATTTGGAAAATCATTAAGTGTGTCATACGTTCATAATATTATTCAATGACTATTAAAATGTTAAAGAAAAATTTTTGAACAATTAAAACTGCAATCAAATACTTCTTCTGTAAATGACCACTAATCAAACGTATGTGTGATATTTAATTGAAAAATTATATAACTCATACGTATTGTTTTAATAGTATGGCTATTTGTTTATTAAATTAATATTTACAGTTGCATGGGGTAAATAACGTAATTGTGTTAATTACTAGAACCAGAAAGATTCTATCTATGCGCTGATATAATGGGAACAGATGGTAATAGAGGATATTACCGAACACAGTTGATTACTCGGAAGCAAGCATTGGTGAGTAATATTTTTACCATGACAACGGCCAGTACATGTTAGAAGTTAGTTAGTTAGTTAATTAGTTAGTTAGTTAGTTAGTTAGTTAGTTAGTTAGTTAGTTAGTTAGTTAGTTAGTTAGTTAGTTAGTTAGTTAGTTAGTTAGTTAGTTAGTTAGTTAGTTAGTTAGTTAGTTAGTTAGTTAGTTAGTTAGTTAGTTAGTTAGTTAGTTAGTTAGTTAGTTAGTTAGTTAGTTAGTTAGTTAGTTAGTTAGTTAGTTAGTTAGTTAGTTAGTTAGTTAGTTAGTTAGTTAGTTAGTTAGTTAGTTAGTTAGTTAGTTAGTTAGTTAGTTAGTTAGTTAGTTAGTTAGTTAGTTAGTTAGTTAGTTAGTTAGTTAGTTAGTTAGTTAGTTAGTTAGTTAGTTAGTTAGTTAGTTAGTTAGTTAGTTAGTTAGTTAGTTAGTTAGTTAGTTAGTTAGTTAGTTAGTTAGTTAGTTAGTTAGTTAGTTAGTTAGTTAGTTAGTTAGTTAGTTAGTTAGTTAGTTAGTTAGTTAGTTAGTTAGTTAGTTAGTTAGTTAGTTAGTTAGTTAGTTAGTTAGTTAGTAGTTAGTTAGTTAGTTAGTTAGTTAGTTAGTTAGTTAGTTAGTTAGTTAGTTAGTTAGTTAGTTAGTTAGTTAGTTAGTTAGTTAGTTAGTTAGTTAGTTAGTTAGTTAGTTAGTTAGTTAGTTAGTTAGTTAGTTAGTTAGTTAGTTAGTGTATGCATCAAATGCGAAATGCACCTGGAACTCTATCGATCAGGTTAAATTATAAAAATATGAACTTTCAAATATGCTCTTCTATCTTATAAACGTATGAGTATTATTAGATAAAAACATAATTAAATATCTATCATACGTACGATTATTTTAAAGATGTATGAGTAGTATCACTAAATAACACTGCAAGCAACTACTAACTTAACAAAAAACTATTGCATACAAGCAGGAGTTACCCTATTAAAATTCATCTATCATTCAAAGAAAACACTTCATTCATTTGAATTAAAATTTTAATATAAATAATTTAATAACAATTTATCCTGATTTAATAAATATTGCGTAAAATATTATTTACATAAATAATGACAAATTTAAATAATAATTATTATTTATAAAAACCTACATATTAAACCATTTGAAAGCACTTTATCTGTTAAAAATAAAACCATAATTATATTTAAAATAATTCTCCTTTTAATTAAAGCATAACGTATGTATGTCATAAACAAACTGCATGTCATTTTAATGAGATTTTAAAGACTTTTCATTTGCAGCAAATAAAATCAAAATGATTGAGCTAAAAATTCCAAAACCGCAAATACAACATTATAAAAAATAATATCATTAACATAAATGATTATGTAATTTATCTACCAGGAATGGACTCAATTTAAAAATATTTAAAAAAAATATGACATACCTGACGCATGGCAGTTAAAAAACCTTGAGGATTAAAGAATCCTGTCATCCAAAATACCTTTAAAATAAATATAGAAAAAAATATGAAATGTAATTAAATCTGCGAAACAGCTAAAGTAACAAAGATTAAAGATATCAAATAAACGATATTTCTCATTTCTAGATTTTCTTTTTACAACTGAAATGAAATATGCCAGCAGAGAAGAAAATGTACCGAAAAAGAGGAACCGCAAACATGATGAACACTAAGTAATTAAGACTTTTGTGGTTGCAGTGCTCTTTTTTAGTTTTTCTTATGAAATTTTCAGTTCAACAACAAGTTCTTTTTATTAAGATTTTTATTTTTATTTGTTCTCTTTAAATATGCAACTTACTTTTGGCCGGTCAGTTGAAATCCAAGTACGAAATTGTGCATTGCGTTCTAATAGTTCCGTATACCAGAATCCCAGTGTTGTTGACTCCCATGATATCTGTAAATGACATAATCAGTGGAGTATTATTAATAAGCCAAACGTACATTTTACACTATTTACTTCTACATAGTTATTTCTTTGAAGAATTTTAAAGTAGGAAATGTAGTGTTATATCTTTTACAAAATTCTTTAAAATTGCATAATTATGAATTTTTTAAGATTGCATTTCATAGAAATCACTATTCTAACAACTACGCAAATAAGAAACGATTGTGTAGAATGGATTTTTTTAAATAAATCAGGCATTTCTAAACGGCTAATTAGGTCAGCATAAAATTTGACTTAGGCATAGATAAGGAGCATTTAAAAATGAACCTAAGAAATGCTCCATGTGCAACGCCATTGGAACTTATAATAGGGTACTTTCGTCACTAGGTACCAAGTTTTATAGGAGACTATATATCTGCGAGATCAGCCGATTACATAAAGAAGATAAAGAAATAAAAATTGATATTAGAGAAGAAATTGTTGATCCGCAGGTAGTGGAACCATAAACTAATCTAGTTTAGTTCTAGTTCAGTTCTAGTTCAGTTCTAGTTCAGTTCTAGTTCAGTTCTAGTTCAGTTCTAGTTCAGTTCTAGTTCAGTTCTAGTTCAGTTCTAGTTCAGTTCTAGTTCAGTTCTAGTTCAGTTCTAGTTCAGTTCTAGTTCAGTTCTAGTTCAGTTCTAGTTCAGTTCTAGTTCAGTTCTAGTTCAGTTCTAGTTCAGTTCTAGTTCAGTTCTAGTTCAGTTCTAGTTCAGTTCTAGTTCAGTTCTAGTTCAGTTCTAGTTCAGTTCTAGTTCAGTTCTAGTTCAGTTCTAGTTCAGTTCTAGTTCAGTTCTAGTTCAGTTCTAGTTCAGTTCTAGTTCAGTTCTAGTTCAGTTCTAGTTCAGTTCTAGTTCAGTTCTAGTTCAGTTCTAGTTCAGTTCTAGTTCAGTTCTAGTTCAGTTCTAGTTCAGTTCTAGTTCAGTTCTAGTTCAGTTCTAGTTCAGTTCTAGTTCAGTTCTAGTTCAGTTCTAGTTCAGTTCTAGTTCAGTTCTAGTTCAGTTCTAGTTCAGTTCTAGTTCAGTTCTAGTTCAGTTCTAGTTCTAGTTCAGTTCTAGTTCTAGTTCAGTTCTAGTTCAATTCTAGTTCTGTTCTAGTTCAATTCTAGTTATGTTCTATTTTGTTTTACGTATACGTAATATTTAATTACAATCAATTCAATATTACACATACGCACCAAATTAAAGAAATTCACAAAAGTATCGTAAATGTTGAAAATTAAATTTTACCATGAAGCTGATTTTAGTTTAGATTAAAATTAATAAAATATTGAATACGTATGAGCAATATTGATTGATTAAATATAAACTTACATACATAAAAATTAAGTCAAATACTATTCGACAATTAATTTTAATTTATCCATTTATTTCTAATAAAAAACTTTAACAAGCTTCCTGGCCACATTAAACCATTAAAGATCTATAAAGCAATATAAGCGTTTAATAAAAATGTACATTTCCTGTTAACTTTATATTTCTGTTGTTATTTAACCCTTACATCTCAGTTATATTAAAATTCCCTGAAAAAAGAAAATACAATTTTGTGCTAAATAAATTTAGCTTAAGGAAAATATTTATTGTACCAGTTAAAAGAAGCAAAAAAAAGTTTTTTTACTATGACAAAATGGATTTTAAGCCTTTTTTTCATCGCCATTTTATTTTGCTTTGTCTATTTTACACGTATACAACACCTTTTTTTGCCGTTTACGAATGAAAGATATAGGCACACTAAAAGCCAAAAATATCCTTTTTTTGTATTGAAACTAAAATGCTTTGATTTTTTTTTTCCTATTTTCTTAGGCTCTTTGTAGCCTAAAGCTTTTTGTTCCCTTTTTTTCCTTAATAAAAAAAATCAAAAATGTTTTCTTTGATTTTGTGTTATTCCTCAAACGTTTAAATATTCTAAAAATTTAAATTGTTGTTATTTTTATGCTGATTTTTTTGCATTGTGTGGGCTTTTCTCGTTATTGATTTGGGTCGTCCAAAAATTTAATCTCTATTATTTATGCGTAATCTTGTTCATTTTTTGATTCATCAAATGAAATTTAAAATTTGGATAATTACATAGAGATGTTTTAAAGACAATATTTAAACGTTTTGCTAAATTTTTAATATAGTGGGAATTTGCTAATGAAATCTAAAAGGACTATACAAAATTATATTACATTCTCTTATATACAAAATAGTAACAAAACTGAAGAAATTTATGATAACAAATTTATAAATGTAATGAAAATGGGGATACATGAAATAATGGACCGATTTTAATAATTTTCTGATCTTGTCGTTACTACAAAGAACATAATATACCAAATTTCATTCAAATATCTTCAAAAGGTAGCATGGACGGACAGACAGACAAGCAAACAGACGGACGGACATAAATAAATCGACTCAGAAAACAATCCTATAGTATACTTCTGTGGGATATAGAAAGACACAATTCAACGTTTGAATTAGTTTTCTTTTTAATAAATAATATTTGAGAATAATAACAGCCGTTTTTAGCACTCTCATCTGTTATTAAGAACAAATATATTATGAAAATCATGCTTTAAATAACAAATTTATTTCTATACATAATCTTAAAGTCATTTTGTATTAACTATAATCTTATTGATTTCTTTAAAATAATATTTATTTAAAACTGCCTGCTCTTCATCTATCATTTGTACCCCAAAAAACTTGACTTCATGTACAAAGTATAAGAAAAATATTTCCAATAATTTCCATTTCATGTTTATATGTATATTCCTTGTACTTTGTTTCAAACCTATTTCATGAGTCTACTTTCCCCTACTCTATACCAGGTATACATACTATAATAGGGCAACATGTTAACATTATATTTAGCAACATTTCTTGACAACATTACTTGCGGTATGAGGATACTTGTTAAAAAGTATATCAACAGGTTCCCATACGTCTGTGACGACCATTGTTTGTTGTGTAATAAATACATACAAATGTTTTGTGTGTAACCTATAGGCTTTAAAATATTCATTAATCAAAAGTATGATAACAATGAATTTGTTTTAGGTTGTTTTTTTTTATACCACATATATTGTTATATTGAAAACATTTTTATTAAAGCTGTATTGTTGTGTGACAAAAAAAATCAATATATTATTGGTATGAATATAAAGACAAAGAAGTGTAAATCTAAAATGAAACATAACACGTACAAATGAAGCTTTGTTCTGATATTTCGACTTTTGTTTAAATTAATACATAGTTGATTCTTGTATTTAAGTAATTTGTATACCCTACACTACTATAATGGGAAGGGTATTATGCGTTTGTGCTGATGTTTGTAACACCCAAAAATAAAGGTCCTACACCCACCTAAAAGTATACTAATCTCAGAATCACTTTCTGAATCGATTTAGCTATGTCCGTCCGTCCGTATGTCTGTCTGTCTGTCTGTCTGTCTGTCTGTCAGTCAGTCTGTCTGTCTGTCTGTCTGTCTGTCTGTCCGTCTGTTTGTCCATGTAAACCTTTTGCGCACTCTACAAGTAGCAATTTTCAAGATAATTTGATGAAATTTGAAACATACTCTTCTTTTGACCCAAGCCTATTGAAAATGGTTAAAATCGGTCCATTATTTCGTTTACGTCCCATACAACCGTATCCCCCGATTTGGGATTTTGAGCTCATAAATACGTTAAATGTTCTTGTATCACTTCGACAAAACTTAGTATTATATAAGTCTTAATGATATTGCTGATTATTGTAATGATCGGATCTCATTTGACCCTATCCCCCATACAAATTTACCTATTGCTAATACTGTTATCAACACTAATGCATAATACCTTCTCCACTATAAATCTTTCAACAATTTAAAACTTTGGTTCAAAAATTCCTCTAATCTATATAGTTGTATAATAAACGAAATAATTAAATTAATTGCGTTGACAGCATCAATTGTTTCCAAACAATTTATTAAAACAAAACGTAGTTCAACTATTAAACGCATAGAAATTATATAAAATTATTTGAAATAAACCACATAAGTACTATTCTTATAAAATTCATATTAAACAGTAGGGTGAATCGAAAAAGTATAATTTTTAACACGAATAAATTTCTAACAATAACATCATCCATCATTTTGGGAATATGATTTTGCGATGAACATCCGTCCGTCCGTCTGTCTATCTGTCTGTCTATCTGTCTGTCTATCTGTCTGTCTATCTGTCTGTCTATCTGTCTGTCTATCTGTCTGTCTATCTGTCTGTCTATCTGTCTGTCTATCTGTCTGTCTATCTGTCTGTCTATCTGTCTGTCTATCTGTCTGTCTATCTGTCTGTCTATCTGTCTGTCTATCTGTCTGTCTATCTGTCTGTCTATCTGTCTGTCTATCTGTCTGTCTATCTGTCTGTCTATCTGTCTGTCTATCTGTCTGTCTATCTGTCTGTCTATCTGTCTGTCTATCTGTCTGTCTATCTGTCTGTCTATCTGTCTGTCTATCTGTCTGTCTATCTGTCTGTCTATCTGTCTGTCTATCTGTCTGTCTATCTGTCTGTCTATCTGTCTGTCTATCTGTCTGTCTATCTGTCTGTCTATCTGTCTGTCTGTTATCTGTCTGTCTATCTGTCTGTCTATCTGTCTGTCTATCTGTCTGTCTATCTGTCTGTCTATCTGTCTGCCTATCTGTCTGTCTATCTGTCTGTCTATCTGTCTGTCTGTCTATCTGTCTGTCTATCTGTCTGTCTATCTGTCTGTCTATCTGTCTGTCTGTCTATCTGTCTGTCTATCTGCCTGTCTATCTGTCTGTCTATCTGCCTGTCTATCTGTCTGTCTATCTGTCTGTCTATCTGTCTGTCTATCTGTCTGTCTATCTGTCTGTCTATCTGTCTGTCTGTCTATAAAAGTTAATACATAGGACCACTCTGCAAAAAACTATTTTAAATCCACTCATTATTGGGCTTGTCTGACTAAAAATACTTTTCCTTACGTACTAGTCTACTATTCATAAAATCTAAAACTCTAACTAACCAATATGCATCATAACTATGCAATTCTAAAACAATGATTTTATAATTTTGCAATTATAAATTTTCGAGAATTATTAACAAAATAGACACACGTATTTGACATTGAAAGCTACTACATATTATTTTATTTAATACCAAATAATTTTTACATAATCTGTGATAAAACTTTACAACAATAACACACAACGACAACAATAAGCATGTAATTATATGCATAAATTGAATTTTTTGTTATACGTTATCAAATGTCATTGCTTATTGGTATAAATTTGAAATCCAAAATACACAAAACCCGCATTTTCGTTTGAATAAAAACTTTTACCAAAACATACTATGCAACAAACCATAACGAAAAAAAAATAAACTGAAAAATGACAGGAAATTTATTCTCTATTTGCAGATGTATTGGAAATAACAATAAATATGTAAAAAATTATATTTATAAAATCTGCATTCCAAGCGTAATATTCAAATACAATGGCGTATTTAATTTAAAGGATTAAAATCATATTTTGAATTGAGCAAAAATATACATAATAATTAACAAAAGTTAAATGTCTAAATCTAAAGTTCATTTGATTAATGCCACGCCCACTTTTTCTAAATGAAAATATCAACAGAAAGAACTAATATTCCATTTTCTATTGCTCTGCTGTACTATAGCCATTGTAAATTTTATATGTATATTTTATTCTTAAATAAATCACTCCTTTAAATATATTCCCACTATTATAAAAATTGGCATATAAAATATGTATGTGAGTGTTTTATATTTTATTTTGCAAATGTGTTGAATATCATTATTCAATACCTAAGAATTATTTTTTATCTCTTTGCAGCAAACAGACAGGTGTATAAAGTGCATGTATTTATTTATTTTTTTTACAATACAAAAGAACTACATCTGCACAGCTATAGTCGTGAAAAAACTGACAATCCACATATGTTGGTATGTAAAATTAAGATTATAATCGTATATAATTTTATGTAAATCATATGACTATAATCTGGAAAACATCACTACTACTTCACATATACATGACTATACAACAATTACAACATAGTATCTTCATACTGCTTAAGGGAATGAGAAATGGAGGACTAGACAAAATTATAGAATTTTAAACATAATAATTATCTCTTTATTACATATCAAGTGGTACGCAGTAATGTAAGAATAACATTTGTTCAGTTCTAAGAAAATTTTGTTTTCTATTCTAAGATTTATCTATATCTATATCTATCTATCTATCTATCTATCTATCTATCTATCTATCTATCTATCTATCTATCTATCTATCTATCTATCTATCTATCTATCTATCTATCTATCTATCTATCTATCTATCTATCTATCTATCTATCTATCTATCTATCTATCTATCTATCTATCTATCTATCTATCTATCTATCTATCTATCTATCTATCTATCTATCTATCTATCTATCTATCTATCTATCTATCTATCTATCTATCTATCTATCTATCTATCTATCTATCTATCTATCTATCTATCTATCCTATCTATCTATCTATCTATCTATCTATCTATCTATCTATCTATCTATCTATCTATCTATCTATCTATCTATCTATCTATCTATCTATCTATCTATCTATCTATCTATCTGTCTATCTATCTATCTATCTATCTATCTATCTATCTATCTATCTATCTATCTATCTATCTATCTATCTATCTATCTATCTATCTACCTATCTATCTATCTATCTATCTATTCATCTATCTCTTCTAAAAGTTACACTGGTATTAATATGCATACATATATAGCCATATATATAACTATGACACTTATTGTAGAGATATATCAAAATGTCTTTACATATTTTTTCTTATCATTCCATTTTAAGTTCTTTGAAACTACTGTAAACTTTTCAACGACTTTATTTATTAACAACTCCCTACCAAATATCACAGAAACATCACTCTTAAAATGATATAAGTACAAATATTCTTCCATTTTCTTATTTGTAAATATGTATGTGTATAAATAAAAACAAATTATGAATATACAATTGACATACCTTCATCCATGATTCTGGTATACGAGCATCATACATGGCATCTAAAGATTCTTTTAATGCAGGACTCATTACAATCGTGCCATCAATTGCCAATTTCAGATCACACAAACAATTGTACACTCTTTTTATTACCTTTTGCATGCGATCAATTTCTTGTCTACAAAATGGATTAATAATAAAAAAATGAAAAGTAAATATAAATAAAAAATCGTATCAAATTAACACATTCGTTAATAAAAATACAAAATTATGTGAAATATTCTAGCATTAATGCATAATTTGCATGACACTCAATTATTAATTTGCCTCAAGGGAATACTAATTACTCTAATAATTATTATAATGATAATGGTGTCGAATGAAAACATGCACATCATACTAGATAGCATCATTAAATTCCATACTTTAGACATTAAATACTTTCTGCTATAATATTTACCTTAGAAATATATTCATTGGTAACAGTATACCCATTCGTATTAGATTCTCACGCACTTCATATGCATTATATTGTGGTGGTAGTTTCCTTAACATATCATCAGCCAGTTGATAGACAATACTTTCTCTAGTTTCACCACCTCCACCGCCACCTTCCTTAGGCTGTACACTGAGTATTGTATCCAATATTCCTGAGGATACATAAGACCATTAAAATATACAAATTGTTGCGTACATCCACATACATATGTACATTTATACATAGTACTACATATAGACAGATGAATTCAATTAGTCTGGTATATTGATTTTGTTAATTTATTTCTGCTTTAGTAGATAGACAGACTATCAGTGCTATTCACTAATATAATTTTGTATGTCTGTGTGTATGTATTAATAGACATATTTAATATGCTTTTAATTGACCTTGTCATAGATTTTCCATTCAGTTCCATTTATGTCTTAATTATTATTTAACCAAATTCTACTTGGAACTTAATTAATGTATGGCCAAATCATATCATGAGAATATCATGAGTAAAGCCAATTAGTGATTTCAAAATGTTACATTTTCTTAAGATATTAAAAGGTTTGCTGTTTAGGAAAAGTTTATTTTTTGTCAGGAAGTAGAATTTAAGACATAATTTATTTCACTTGTTCTATTTACTTACACCACTTATAGCCGTCAAAAACGGAACAGAACTCAATTGACACACCCATTTGCATTCTATTAGACAATGGGTCGTACTTTTTACTTCAAAATTTTAAGAAGGCGATGTGCCACGCCCACACACAAAATCAGTATTAAATGTCGCATATCTCAGACTCTGCAAGGGTTACATGAGGACAAAATGGGCAGCCTAGCTATAGTGGGCGTGGCACCTACCATATAAAGAAAATCTTAAATTAGTATATCTGAGAAAATATAACAGCTAGAGTCATTTTTTTCGGAGACACTTTAGTATCAACATGAATGTTTATTACCAAAAATGGGCGTGGCACATCCCATATGAATTAAATACTAAAATTCGTTTATCTGGAAAACTATTGCAGATAAAGTCTAAAAATTTTGCACGAAGGCCTCTAGCATACATGAGAATATTTAGGAGAAAAATGGGCGGACTTTCATAAGGGGGTCTTAGCACCTCTCATACGGATTGATTCCAAAAATGCGTACATTTGAAAAATTATTAGAGCTAAAATTTTGCACGAACTACTGTGACATCCATGTAAACATTTGGGTAATAAATTGGCGGAGTAGATTTTAGGGGCGTGGTACCTCCCATATAAATTAAATTAGAAAATTCGTTTATTTAGGAAACTAATGGAGCTAGAATCTTTAAATTTTTTACGAAGAATTTTAACAGCTATTTGAACATTTTGAAGAAAAATGGGCGGACGTTTATTAGGGGGGCCTGTCACCTCCCATATGAATTAAGTACAAAAATTCATATATCTGGAAAGCTATTAGAGCTAGAATCTTAAATTCTGCACGAAGAACTCTGACACTCATTAAATTCGTATATCTCGGAAAATGTTAGAGCTAGAATTCGTAAAGTGGAGTTTTTATTTATATTGGGTATAGCTAGTGGTCTCAATAAATCAAAATACAAGAAATAATAATTTTGGGGATTTTTTTATAATTTTTGGGTATTATGTGTTATTGGTTAGTCTATGGACTAGTAAAAACACTAGTTCATGGACTTAACAATATACTAGTTTTATGACTAGTCATTTTACTAATTTATACACTAGTCTATATATATGTTCATTGACTAGTGTATTGACTGGTCTATTGAATAGTCTGTTGGTTAGACGTCTATTTATTAACTAATATATATACTAACCTATAAACTGGTCTATTAGGTAGTCTATTTACTAGTTAATTGACCAATGTAATGTCTAGACTATAGACTAGTTAGTTCATCAGCTGATCTATTCACTAGCGTCAATACTACACTTTTCAAAAAAAGTACACAATTACTACAGTACTCCGGGAGGATATTTTTAGGGTGTGTAGGTTTAGATCGTGGGCAGACATTGCCCATTACAAAAAGTCTTATCAACAAAAAAATGTTTGTGAAAAGTTCAATTCTATAGCTACCCCCATCTGGGACCAATCAGCTATTAACATGACAGAAAGATGGACGGACATATGTAATACTGGAAATATTAATTTAAAAAATTTTTATTTCTTATAAAAAGCAACAAACTGTTCACTTTTAAAATAAAATTTAATTTATTTTTCTCATCATCTTTCACATTACTCCAGGCTAATCCTCGTAAGTATTAGTTAGTGTTTATGTGACAAAAACTAAACGATAAAGGTAGCAAAGTTTCAAAAACCATATCTAACTTAATCTCTGAGAATGTTGTGATTACTTATACTTATTACAACATTTTAACACGTAAATTCCTTACAAACTTTAACAAATTTGTTTACTTGTTTTTTGTATGTGCAAAACATTCCTTTTCGACAAATATGAGAATTCTTATAATGTCAAAATTAATCTTCTCAAAGTTTATTTATAGTCAGTCCCTAAGGCCAAACCCCGTCATATGCAAACACTTATATTTTACAATACGAATATGTACCTTAAATGTCAATAAACTTTACACTCTGTGTAAACAAAACAAAAATATTCATATGAAATTAAACTACCAAACCAGAAAGAAAGAAACATACATACTTCAATATCAATTACACATACATAAACTTAACTGGAATACAGACAAAAAAAGTGTCACAACACAAATTATTGATTTTTACGGTTCATCCTTTGGAAAGTACATAATAACAAAATCTACATACAACACACCTTCTTAATCAAGTTCTTTTACAAAATATAAATGAATAACATATTTATGTATGTATTTATACATACAACACAAAGTATCCACATACATATGTATTTATATATCTGCAATCTACACACTCACCTTTGGCAGAATTAATTTGATACGTGATGTCAGCATTCGAATGTAAACCAAATACTTCAGGTGTATCGTAAGCCGGTAAATTATTAATGTAATCAATAAAAGTTTGCAAATTTTTCGTATTGGGCACTTTGTAACCCTTATAAAATTCAAACGATGGACTCAGCAGACCTTCACAAAACCATACTGCTGTGAAGGTTGTCAACAGACGTTTATCGAAATCATCCGTTACTCGACCACCGTACTGTACCTCACCAATCATATAGACAAGTGTTTGCCAAGAGACACCTTTCTTCGGATCCATTTCATCCAAATGATTCTGTACGAACTGTACACTGGCTGCAAAGTCGGCAGCATTAAATTCATATGGTACATTCCAGCCCAAAGGTCCAAATTTACGTCTTTCTTGCACAATGGTATGAAGAAATGCCACAGTATACAGTAGAGTGGGCCATTGAGGTGCTGCCGTATAATCCAAGAAATCTTGTGTGAAAGCCTGTATAAGGAAATTTTAAAAATTAATCACATAATCATAAAGTAGTATAAGTGCAACAATATTCATACTTGATAACTTCGCTTTAAACTGGCACGTATACCTTGAGGAGGTTCGTTAGTAAATTTAATTGCCATTTGCAGTAGACCAATAGGAAAGTCGGAATGAGGTTCGGTAGTCACCCACATACGAAATGTATTATCAATATGTTCCGTTTCTACCAACATATCAATTACTTCTGTGCAAAATGGCAAAGATAAGTGTACGTTTTGTAGTAAAACCCAACCACCGTTCGCCATTGATTCCATAATCATTTTACGTGCATGAAATTCTTGTCCCTGACCCATAGAGACAGATTTGAGTGCTATTTAGGGAGTATGCAAAATAATTATGCAAAATAAGTTTTCTTTTCTGTTAATTTCATCTTAAAAATATCACAACATACGTATTCCTTTTTGTTTGGCTAAAGCAGCTATTTGTGTTGTAGGATCCGAGCCAATTGAGAGTAAACATACAAAGGGTGTTCTAGGTTCAGACTCGGACCATGTGAGTTCTAAATCTAAAATTTGCATTTCACTATATTCTGGTCCCAGTGATTCTAGAAAAAATTTCAAATTATTTTTTTTCACAGTTTATTTTAAACGATTTTTTGAATAGTTTACCTTCTATATATTTCTTAGCTTGTGAAATTGTACGATCCGGGCACCATGATCGTATTAGCAGTAATTTACGAAAACCATCTAATGATGTTTGATAGCCACAGGGTATTTCCTCATTTTCAGGCTTTTCCGATTCATACCAAGTGCGCCATTCACGTTCATTAAGTTCAATCTGTTCAAATGTAAAAACAAATTATTTAAAAACCAAGTAAGAATGTCGGGCATGGCCGACCATAGGATAACCTACACCTGTTATAGGTACGGATTATATCTAAAATGTGATTTATTTTTAAATATAAAGCTTCAAATTAAATTTTTCGTTATTTACTGAAAAACTTATTTTCTGAAAGATACTACATATACATATATGTGGGCTAGGGTCAAACATGAACCGATCCTAAGAATCTAAAATTAGATTTCGGGAAGGTCTAGTCTAAGGCTAGTTTAAAGTCTATTATATTGATTAGTTGAAAGTATAGTCTTTAGACTAGTCCAAAGTTAAGTCACTAGACTGATGGAATTTTTGTATATAGACTAGTTAAAAGTCTACAACACAAAGTTTTTCGACTAGACTATAGGCTAGACTTTCGTCTAGTCTATGGATTACTTCTTCGACTTTTCAAGAATTAACAAAGTAAAGTCTCAAGTATAGTCTATAGACTAGTGGCAATACTTGTCTATAGACAAGTGGAAAATCAAGTATATATACATAGACTAATCGAAAGTCAAGTGTATAGAAAGTTAAGTGTCGAATGTCAAGACTAGTCGAAAGTCTAGTTTACAGGCTATTCAGAAGTCTATTTTATAAACTAGTCGAAAGTCTATTCTATACGCTAGTCTAAAATCTATTACATAGAATAATCGAAAGCCTATTGAATAAACATGTCAAACCCTATTCTATGGACTAGCCAAAAGTCAAGTCAATAGACTATTTGAAAATCTACTCTATAGGCTAGTCAAATGTGTAGACTAGACGAAAATCATGTCTATGGACTAGGCTAATGTCAAGTCTATTAACAAGTCGAAAGTCTATTTAAATAATGTCAAGTATGTAGAATAGTCGAAAGTCAAGTCGACAGACTAATCGAAAGACGAGGTCTATAGACTAGGGTTCTCTAAATCAACTTTCGAACAATCGACGAAAAGTCGACTTTGTAAATAAAAGTCAAGAAAGTCGAAAAATGGAAAAAAGTCGAAAAGTGGTAAAAAGTCGAAGAAAGTCAAAAAGTCGGAACATGTCGAAAAAAGTCGGAAAAAGTCGAAAACTCGAAAATAGTAGAAAAAATTAAAAAATACTCGAAAATTTAAAAAAAGTCAAAAACTCTATAATAGTCGGAAAAAGTCAAAAAAAAAAATAGTCGGAAAAAGTCGAGGAGTCGAAAAAAGTCGAAAAGTCGACTATTTATAAAATACTAAAAGTTTAAAAGCCGACTTTTAATTAAATGAAAAAAGTCGAAAATCGACTTTTCATAAAATGCAAAAAGTCGACTTTTAACTTCAACTATAGAAACCTACTATAGACTGTCTGTAGGTTAGTCGAAAGTCAAGTATATAACTAATTTAAAATCAAGCCTATTGACCAGTCGAAAGTTGTATCTAAAAACTAACAAGTAAGAGTGTTATATTCGCCTGTGCCGAATCTTGTATACCCACCATCAAATCATTGCCGAAAAGGAATGGTGTCTTATAAATAAACTTTCACAATTTAAGAATCGATGCTTTTGTTATTATCAAAACAATTTTCTCATTTATTACATCTATGTATAATTTTACCATCATACATATGTATATCGGTAGGATCAATTATAGACTGATCCTCCTAAAATTTGGTAGAGAAATTTTTGTCGAATTTTGTCGCTGTACAAGGTAGTAGAAAGTGTAAAAGTATTTTTCTGAGAAGGACCTTGTTTGGGGGGAGGTTTGGTCAACTATGGACCGATCCTGGTAAAATTTTCTAGATTTCAGTTTAGGCTAGTAATGAGCGTTAAAGCCATTTACTGAAGGGGTCCTTATATGGGGGTAGGGTCAATTATGGACCTATCCTTATAAAATTTTACAATGATATTAAGGTTCCTATAAAATAAGTTCATGTCGAATTTCATCGCTATAGATGCTTCTTTACGGCAGTTATGAGCGTTAAAGTCATTTTCTGAAGGGGACCTTATATGGGGGATAGGGTCAATTATGAACCGATCCTTATAAAATTTTACAATGATATTAAGGTTTCTATAAAATATGTTCATGTCGAATTTCATCGCTATAGATGCCTCTTTAAGGCAGTTATGAGCGTTAAAGTCATTTTCTGAAGGAGACTTTATATGGGGGATAGGGTCAATTATGAATCGATCCTTATAAAATTTTACAATGATATTAAGGTTAATATAAAATATGTTCATGTAGAATTTCATCGCTCCTTTTTTAAGGCAGTTATAAGCGTTAAAGTAATTTTCTGAAGGGGACCTTATAGGGGCGGTAGGGTCAATTATGGACCGATCCTTATAAAATTTTACAGAGGGATTTAGGCTTCTATAGAATATGTTCATGTCGAATTTCACCGTTCTAAATGCTTCTTTTAGACAGTTATGAGCGTTAAAGTCATTTTCTAAAGGGGACCTTATATGGAGGCTAGGGTGGTTTATGGACCGATCCTTATAAAATTTTACAAAGATGTTAAGCTTCCTATAAAATACGTTTATGTCGAATTTCATCGCCATAGCTGTTTCTTTTAGTCAGTTATGAGCTTTAAAGCCAATTTCTTAGGGGGACCTTATATGGGGGCTAGGCGAAATCGTGGACCTATATTGCCCATTTTCAATACCAATCAAACTGCATTTATATAAAATGTTTATGCAAAATTTCAGCTAGCTACTTCCATTTGGACTCTATCGTGTTTTCAACAGACGGACAGACGGACGGACATGGCTAGATCGTCTTAGAATTTAATAAGGATCCAGAATATATATACTTTTATGGGTCTTAGATAAATATTTCGATGTGTTACAAACGGAATGACAAAAACAATTTACTCCCCATCTTTTTTGATGGTGGGTATAATAAAAAGTTTAGTTTATGGAACATTCGAATGTAAAGTGTACAGTAAGTATAGTGAAAAGTCTAGTCTATCTATTAATCAATAGTTTGACCTAGTCTAATGTCAATTTTTCAGACAATGTATATTATGGACTAGAACAAATAACTTTGGGTGGCATTTTATTTTGCGAACTTCATTTGGATAGAAAGAGTTAAAAGCATAAGTATTTCTAATCGATTCATTTTGAGCCGCGTAGCCTAAAATTATTTCTATCATTATTAGTTGATTTTAAGTATATTGAGCTTGTTTTTGAAATACAAATTTATATTTAAATTTATTGGTATATCTACACAATAACATAAAGACACCTATTTACATATACATATATGTGGGTACAATTGGGTTGGTTTTTTTTTAATAAATACTAACAAATAACTGTAATTTTACCAAAACAAATTTCAGTTGAAAATATTAAAAATATATTTATATAACATAAATATTTTATTTTATGCAAAATAGTTTAAATGTGGGTGGCACAACTAACAAAAAATATTTTCATTTCATAATCGATATTTTTGATAAATTTAAAAACCACAAAAATTGACATAACTACACTTATTGAACATAATAAATTGTGCAATCTGCAAATAGTGATTGGTCAATTTATGATATGACCACAGTTAAATAATAGGTTTAAGAATCTTTTCAACATTTTTATAGTAATAAAATTCAAGGTCATTTTAGACGAAACAAAATTTTCGAAAAAATTTTCCAATTGGTTAGAAATTAAATAATTTCAGAATATAAAATATTTTGGTAAACCAGTTATCTCCAATTTTTAAAGTAAGTTAAAGATTTGTCTAACATATTATACCAAATACTGGGTGATCAAATGCATATGTCTTTAAACATGTTCTAAAAACATTTACGGAGATAACCCATTTCACAACTGAAATATCCATATATAGAAAATTTCAAAAACCAACTAATTGCATTTCAATAGTCCTACTCGCTATGTTTATGTTTTCCATAATACACTATACTCTGATGAAATGTTTTGAGCTTAATCATTTATTCATAGAAAATTCTAATGTACAACATACGTATGAGTAATATAAATTCTTCATTACTCATGTTAATACACAAAAACTGTAGTAAAAAGTATGCAAATTTCATAAACCCACATGCCAATACATAACAAAACTTACCAATTCCAAAACATTAACAAACGTTTCCAATTTACTTATTTCGACTAAATTCAACCAAGTGATGTCTAAAATCCAACGGAATGGTTTTGGTTGTACAGCATTCAAATCCAATGATGCACCACCCTTAATGAAAGCCATGAATTCCTCATGACTAATATTTCCCTTGTGATAGTCGATTTTAATGGCCAACATCAAAGTGAACAGTTGTTTGTGACGCTCGTACAGACTACGGTTGGTGAACTTATAGACTTCGTAAGTTAAGTAGCGTAAAATAATATTAATGCGTTCTTCGGTGACATTTGATTTGGTTGATTTAGTGATGGAATTATTGAAAATGACCAGAAATTGCTTTAAAGAATTCTGGTACATGACATTAACATTGCTCATTTCCACAATCAGGAAATAGAGTATAGATCCACGGGCTGCTACAGCTCTAAATTCTTCTCTAGCTTTCATAATTTTACGTTCGGTTACCTCGGCTATTTTAAGTTTTTCATTTACCTCTTCAGCGGTAGTTTTTGTTACTCTCAATACCTCTATGAGAGCTTCATCGTCAACCAAGGAACCCTGGGAGGAACTTAAACGATATAGTAAATTAGCCTCTAGTTCTTTCATATTCCTTTGATTTTGCATAACCGTTTCAAAGAGAGCCACTCTCTCAGCTTCTAAATCTGACTTCTCCATTAGTATAACTCTGCCCAGCAGTTGGTCTTCTAAACCTCTCATGGTTACAGTAAAATCTATAATAGAAGTCTTGGCGCTTACCTCCGGACTAAAAGGTGGATTGGGTAGTTTGGTGGTGATGTACAACATAAAACCCGGCATTACATCACATTCTTTATCACCCACCAACACCTTTTCGATACTGCCCGATTTAATGAAATTCTTTTCCAAAACATTATCTATAACTGGATCCAATTCCACTCCCACATCTTCGATCAACAAAGGTCTACCCAAGGAAAGAGCATCTTCTAAGTGCGTTCTAAAATATTTATGATTAAGCGAAGTGATTTGTAATTCATTTTGCTCTTCTTTGGATTTAATCCATAGTTTGCCTTGTGTTTGAGGATCTATTAGCAGAGGATAGCTACTGGACTTGGTGGCTATTAAAGCATTTTGTACAGACAATTCATCATTGGGCAGACCCTGTAAAGTCCATTCGGAAACCATAGAAGAGTCCACCAACATATTTATAATATTTAGACCCGTGGTGAAGGGTATAGCTTTCTGTTTCAGTATACCCATCCAAGTTCTTATTAAGTTTGCACGAAACTCTTGATTATAGGGACCACAATAGGAGAGAAAACCTGTGGCTAATAGTACATCTCCCACTAGTTTGCCCAATTGTATTTTAAACTCTTTACTTTGATTAGTCCATCTAACTTTTTCATCCGACAGACCATTTATGAGAGCTGTAGCAGCAGTCATTTTACGAAGACAGGCATTGGCCGCATCGGTTAATCGCTGTTTTTCACCCACTGCTTTGTCATATTGATTTTTAACCGCCTGAAGGGCTTCTTCACGTTCTCGTAGTTGATCTTCGGCACCAGCAAGATCGTCCATAGCGAGCTAATGGAAAGGAGAAAAATAGTGTGTAATTGTGGCGTTTAAAAATATTTACAATTTAGTCTAGTCTAAAGTCTAGTCTATAGTCTAGTCTAAAGTCTAGTCTATAGTCTAGTCTAGTCTATAGTCTAGTGTAGTCTATAGTCTAGTCTATAGTCTAGTCTAGTCTATAGTCTAGTCTATAGTCTAGTCTATAGTCTAGTCTATAGTATAGTCTAGTATAGTCTAGTCTAGTCTAGTCTAGTCTATAGTCTAGCCTATAGTATAGTCTATAGTCTAGTCTATAGTCTAGTCTATAGTCTAGTCTATAGTCTAGTCTATATTCTAATCTATAATCTAGTCTATAGTCTAGTCTATAGTCTAGTCTATAGTCTAGTCTATAGTCTAGTCTATAGTCTAATCTATAGTCTAATCTATAGTCTAGTCTATAGTCTAGTCTATAGTCTAGTCTATAGTCTAGTCTATAGTCTAGTCTATAGTCTAGTCTATAGTCTAGTCTATAGTCTAGTCTATAGTCTAGTCTATAGCCTAGTCTATAGTCTAGTCTATAGTCTAGTCTATAGTCTAGTCTATAGCCTAGTCTATAGTCTAGTCTATAGTCTAGTCTATAGTCTAGTCTATAGTCTAGTCTATAGTCTAGTCTATAGTCTAGTCTATAGTCTATAGTCTAGTCTATAGTCTAGTCTATAGTCTAGTCTATAGTCTAGTCTATTAGTCTAGTCTATAGTCTAGTCTATAGTCTAGTCTATAGTCTAGTCTATAGTCTAGTCTATAGTCTAGTCTATAGTCTAGTCTATAGTCTAGTCTATAGTCTAGTCTATAGTCTAGTCTATAGTCTAGTCTAGTCTAGTCTATAGTCTAGTCTATAGTCTAGTCTGAAGGTGTATATAAAAGTATTAAGGACCTTATCACACTTAGTGCTTAGCTTTTGTTTATAAATCTCTTAAAACACCTAATCTCAAAATCATCACCAGATTACCGATGTTTTATCCAACAAAAATATTTAAATTTACTCTAAGGACCTTTTATTTTACAGTTTCCTCCTTCAGTTTCTTAAAAACGTCAATATGTCTTTCAAAATGACACGCTCTACAATCCTAATCCAATCATTGTCATAACATCTTATCCCATTTGCATTGTTCCAGTTTTAATTATTCCTATTGACACTACGGATACACGCACACACTCCGATATATTATACACGTACCTTCAATCTAGCTTCCTGCATTGTCAAATTGGCTTTCAATGGCAGCACTTCTTTGTTGACACTATGAAAGAAACCCATTGCCTTTGTCCAAGACAATAGACCAGCAACATCACCACAAACCCTACGTGCCATATCCATATTATAGTCTTCCATACGAAAGTATGGTTGTAATAAATCAATCATTTCATCGTTTATTGTATCCTTAGGATAGTTCTGTAGCTGCAACAGGAATGTTGCACTAGCCATCATCTAGAAGAAATATGCAAATAATGGAAACCATAAATATTGACATAAATTTTGTAAAAATTCTTGTAGCTGGTATACCTTTAATGATTCTTGCCATGATGGTTTGGGACACGGTGTACCTGAGTCCGGTATACAAGGATGTAGTTTACGTTTGAAGAGTATTAGTACACAGTCCATAATGCGCATAATAAGATGAGGTGGTCTACCCAATTTACGTACTGTTGCTATATGAGCTGGTTTGATGGTATTTAAAGCATTCTCTGCTTCTTCCAGAGCCGGTTTGGCTGCCTCCAGTTTTTCTTCAGCCAAAGCCTTTTCATTGGCTATACATGCCACCAATGCTTCCGCCTTATCCTTAACTATCAAAACTTGATTCTTTACAATTTCTGCTTGCATCGCACGTTCAGTTACTTCTACTAACACCGACTCGGCTTTTTTAGAGGCTTCTACCAGCTCTTCCTCCATTACCACCAAATCCTTTTTAAGTATTTCCACTGAGGCTGAAGCTTCTTTTAGTTTCTCTAAGCCGGTATCCATTTTCTCTACACCATCTCCCAATTCCTTTTGTTTTTGTTGGTAGATATTCTTGTAACCTGCTATAAAATTGAGATACGACTTTGGTGTTACATGAGTAGCACGTCTAAAACGTTGAAAATATTCTTGAGAAGTTTCTGCTACCACATCTTGTATTGAACCCAAAGCATTGACAAGTTCTTCTTTCACTTCCGGTGTACACTCTATTTCAAAGTCACTCAGAAAGTGTCGAGAAACCGAGACGAGAGCATCCTTGGGCCAAGGTTGAAACCAATCAATGGTACAGCCTGATACCAAAGCCGGGAAACGTTGTACCCGTGCTCGGAAAGTCTCTCCCACAGGTGAAAAGCAAAAAGCCACATGGAGATTAGCACAGGTACGAGCCAAAAAGAACTCCATCACACTCTCAGGGGTGGCGGTTTTACGTTGATTTTCTCTTTTCATTATGGGTGTCAATTCCTGAACAATTTCTGATTGTTCATCTCGGGAGAATAGATTTGATATAACTCCCGAGGAAAGAATATTATTAAGGTATTCCAAGAAACCTTCCTCTTTTATATCCATATCAGTGAAAAGGAAGGTGGTACCTTTTCCTTGGACACCACAAGTACGATAGAGCAGTTTAAGATCCTCCAAAAAGTTGGCCACATTATAGGAACGTGTTAGTGCTATTTGGAATGTTTTATAGCCAGCTATAAATGAAGCCAATTTCGTAAGCGATTGTTTGCCAGAACCACCGACCCCGACCAGCATGACATTTCCACGAGGATGCCTTATAATACGAGAAATCTTTACCAAATGCAACATGGCATCAGGAAAGAAAACCAAATCCATCCCGGAACCTCGCACCATTTCATTAAATTGGGCAAGAAACATAACCAGACGCTCACGGAGTACTTCGTGAGAGGTCACCGGTTCATAGACTTTGGGCAATTCCATATCAGCATCTTCGCCCTCTTCGCCTGTAGGTTCAGGAGCATCACGCATAAAGTCAACAAACACCGGATTCGGTAAAATCATTTGCACATGATTTTCACCCAATTCCGAACGCACCAGACACGATAATTCCGAACTAAACCATTCCTTATCGGGGAAATTGGTAAATCGATCCGCAAATACCCTTGTGCATTCATGTTTCCACAAAGACATTAACACACTTTCAGAAGTGATTACAGTTGATAAAGTGCCCACCATACCCTGCCATATGCGCGACAAATCTCTTAAACTGAAAACATAATGAAATTTTGCCGGTGTGGGCAGTAATTTTTCTCTAGTACGTTGCCATAAATAGCGTGTTATAACAATCAATTTCTTGACCAAATTTCTTACATCTGGTATGAAACCTCTTTTGGCGTTGTAATGACCCTCGCCTATAACACGGAATATTTTATCTATGGAATCATTATCGGGTATATTGCAGTTGAACACACAAAATTGTCTTTTCAAACGAGAGGGTATATCATTGCGACCTCCACCCGGTAAACCCATAGCAGCCACATATTGCACATCTACCACGGTGGTAAAATCACCGGGTTTCTCCAAACTATAAAAACCTTTCATATCCATCGATTGTCTTACAATCTCATTGGTCACCTGATCACCCCATTCGTTTATCTCGGGCAAATTAATATCATCAATGAAAACAATCAATTTACGGCCACCCGGAGGACCAAAAGTTACACCCACTCTCTTTTCCACATAACTTTCGATAGTTCTTTGGAATTGATATGGACTCGTGGCCGATGAAAAGTTAAATGAACGTCCCATATAAGTTTCCACATTCATCTTTTTCATGAAATTCTTCATAATCACTGTCTTGCCGGTACCCTGCTCACCAATCAACATGACAGCCTTCTCCTGATTTGCTATACAACCGATCAAATAATCCATGCGTACATTATCCACAATGGGCACTAGAATGCTTAAATAATCTGGCGTGGAAACTTCTGGATACATATAGGGCGTAACTAAAGTCTTCCATGATTGCCAAGCGCCTGTGGCCGAAACAAAAAAATCAAATATACTATTTTCACTGGTAGTGCCTTTGGCATAATCCAAATCGGGAAATGTTTCTTTAACATATTGATTCATTTTAACACGATCCACTGTATTAAGATAAGCTCCCAAACCCCAGGCTAAAGCAAAGATGTACAAACGATGTAAATGCTCTGGTGTGCAAGTATCTTCTTTTTCCTCCACCAAAGTTTCTTCGGCGGCTTCTTCTACGGATACAGAAAAGAATAACAAACATAGATATTATAATAAAAAAAGTTAATATTAAATTTTAATAGAAGAATAGAAGAAGTTAGTTAATTTTGTTAGACGAGATCACATTGTAGATAGTAGTTAGTATACACAATCAATTTCACAGACACAAATTGTTCAAAAATTTTAAATACAATAAAAGGAAATGATAGGGAAATAAGTAGTAAATTTTATAAGACGAGAACCACTTGAAGTTAGTACTATGTAGACATAATTTTTCACAGGCACAAACAATTTAATAAAATTTTTATAAAAAGTTAACAATTACAATGATTCGATTAATACAATTAATGTTTTTTGGTTTTTCAGGGGATCATAACCAATCAGAGATGTGACATCGATAGAAATCAATACTTGTAATAACGAGAGGTCTTAAGCATTAGTTGGAGATGTCCTCAGTTACACTCTTACTGCCTTCTTGACAATATTGGCATATTTAATAATCGATTATTTTAGAATAAAAATCAAGAAACTAATGTCGAAACTGAGAAAATGGACAGCAGATTTTAGAATTTTGCAAAGTGTTGAAATAATAACTAATAAGAAGGGAAGAAGCATATCGGGTATGCCCGACTATATAGTTAGTTAGTTAGTTAGTTAGTTAGTTAGTTAGTTAGTTAGTTAGTTAGTAGTTAGTTAGTTAGTTAGTTAGTTAGTTAGTTAGTTAGTTAGTTAGTTAGTTAGTTAGTTAGTTAGTTAGTTAGTTAGTTAGTTAGTTAGTTAGTTAGTTAGTTAGTTAGTTAGTTAGTTAGTTAGTTAGTTAGTTAGTTAGTTAGTTAGTTAGTTAGTTAGTTAGTTAGTTAGTTAGTTAGTTAGTTAGTTAGTAGTTAGTTAGTTAGTTAGTTAGTTAGTAGTTAGTTAGTTAGTTAGTTAGTTAGTTAGTTAGTTAGTTAGTTAGTTAGTTAGTAGTTAGTTAGTTAGTTAGTTAGTTAGTTAGTTAGTTAGTTAGTTAGTTAGTTAGTTAGTTAGTTAGTTAGTTAGTTAGTTAGTTAGTTAGTTAGTTAGTTAGTTAGTTAGTTAGTTAGTTAGTTAGTTAGTTAGTTAGTTAGTTAGTTAGTTAGTAGTTAGTTAGTTAGTTAGTTAGTTAGTTAGTTAGTTAGTTAGTTAGTTAGTTAGTTAGTTAGTTAGTTAGTTAGTTAGTTAGTTAGTAGTTAGTTAGTTAGTTAGTTAGTTAGTTAGTAGTTAGTTAGTTAGTTAGTTAGTTAGTTAGTTAGTTAGTTAGTTAGTTAGTTAGTTAGTTAGTTAGTTAGTTAGTTAGTTAGTTAGTTAGTTAGTTAGTTAGTTAGTTAGTTAGTTAGTTAGTTAGTTAGTTAGTAGTTAGTTAGTTAGTTAGTTAGTTAGTTAGTTAGTAGTTAGTTAGTTAGTTAGTAGTTAGTTAGTTAGTTAGTTAGTTAGTTAGTTAGTTAGTTAGTTAGTTAGTTAGTTAGTTAGTTAGTTAGTTAGTTAGTTAGTTAGTTAGTTAGTTAGTTAGTTAGTTAGTTAGTTAGTTAGTTAGTAGTTAGTTAGTTAGTTAGTTAGTTAGTTAGTTAGTTAGTTAGTTAGTTAGTTAGTTAGTTAGTTAGTTAGTAGTTAGTTAGTTAGTTAGTTAGTTAGTTAGTTAGTTAGTTAGTTAGTTAGTTAGTTAGTTAGTTAGTTAGTTAGTTAGTTAGTTAGTTAGTTAGTTAGTTAGTTAGTTAGTTAGTTAGTTAGTTAGTTAGTTAGTTAGTTAGTTAGTTAGTTAGTAGTTAGTTAGTTAGTTAGTTAGTTAGTTAGTTAGTTAGTTAGTTAGTTAGTTAGTTAGTTAGTTAGTTAGTTAGTTAGTTAGTTAGTTAGTTAGTTAGTTAGTTAGTAGTTAGTTAGTTAGTTAGTTAGTTAGTTAGTTAGTTAGTTAGTTAGTTAGTTAGTTAGTTAGTTAGTTAGTTAGTTAGTTAGTTAGTTAGTTAGTTAGTTAGTTAGTTAGTTAGTTAGTTTGAAAGGAGGATGAATATACATCAAATCCGAAGAAATACACCTAGGCCTCTATCGGGCCTGTTGTGCGCTCCTTAACCAGTGCCTCAGGTGGGAATCGAACCCACCACCTCCGGTCTACCAGACTAGAACACTAACCACTAACCTACCGGAGGCCACATGCCCCGACTATATAATGCGCAATAATTTTTTGAATAAAAAAATAATATTTATTTTATTATTCATCATGTCAGCCTGTGGAGCACTATGATCTCAATATTCGGCCCAATATAGGAATTTTCTTTTATTAAACTCCAATACCACCCTGATATGGGTCCATGCGCATTGGGATTACTTTAGCATTGAGCAGACAGATGAGCTAGTCAGAACGGGAACTGCTTTAGATATCTCCTACAACGTGTCAGTAGCAACTCCATTGGGTTCTATCAAAAGTAGTATCCTCAGATTCTTTCTTCAAAAGGCTGAAAATATATGGAATAATCTCGACACATATATAGGGACCAAGGTCAATGTGGCAGTAATAACTGAACACAGGTAGACACACAGGCGTGGGCTCCCATTTAATAAATACTGTTGCAGTTGCAAAGTCAGGGAAAAGGAATAAATGGCCTTCCATCTTCTCTGCGAATACCTGCTCTAGCTGCCAAGAGGAACTTACTCCTCGGCAATTACTTCATATCCAGCCTAGGTGAGTTATCTGGATCGAAACTCAATGATCTTATTAGATTTTTCACGGCTACAGGCTGGATATAATACATTATCTGATGAGTTAACTGCTCCTGTCAAAACGAAATATTTTCGACTCTACTTGACTGTTCTGTTAGAATCATTCCGTTGTCAATGATAGTATAGCCGTTAATCTGATAGTATAGCCGTTTGAGTGCTTAACCTACATAGTTCACTAAAAACGGCGGTTTTAGTGATCTTGAAACTATTCGAGAACTCAAGTAGAGTCGCTCTATTAGGAGCGATTAGGGAAAGGTTTGCTGGTCGGGAGAGGGATGACCCCGAAAAGTTCAAATGATCTATAGAGGCTGATCTTCACGATGAGCAGCCCGAAACAAAGCGTGTCGAATCGCCGACTTTGTGCCAACGAGTGATAATTTTTGCTGTTGAAGTAGGCAATATAATAAAGGATCCGTGGGAAAGCTAATACAAATTGGTATTCCAGACCTTCATACGAAAGATTGGAAGGTTTTCAGAATTTTCGATTAGGTTTTTACGAAGACTTTTACTCCATACCAGTTAGGCAACAAAAGACTTCAGGACCAAGATGACGTCTATAAACGTCGTATGACGATACTGCTAACTTGGTGTGTGCAAATGAATTAAATATGGAGTTTTTAACTGAATGGGATAGACGAAGTTCGGGATACGGTCCAGGATAACCTTAATATCGCAGAGTTGCAATATGACTGCTTAAGATATGGTGAATGAGAACAATAAAATCAACTTCGTTCGTCATGCTTATCTAGAGGGGTATTACCAGGGAAGAATTTTCACTAGCTTTAGAAGCCAATGGACTATGAAAGGCTGAAGTGGACCTAGTAAGAGTAGATTTTCTTCATTATTTACGATTACAGTCAAGAAGATCCAGCAATGGACATCAGTGTTGATACTATAATCATGATCGATTTGCTTAAATGTTGATGTCCATGTCTGAGCAAACTCGGTTGTCAAAATTAGATACTAGACTATTTTCCACACTGAATACTACACTACAGTCCGAACAAAATACATATATACTAGACTATTTTTAACATATTAATCGAATCATTGTTTCTAATATTTAAAGAAATAAAAGTGCTTTAAGAAATAGCTTTTAGACACAGTATTTATAAGCTTCTTAAGAAAATTATGTACATAAAGATGTTAGAAGAGAGTCTGAAATTAGGTAAAAAAAAAAAATAAACGAAATTCAAATACATTACCATCATCTTCATCGGCTAAGGAATTACGACGTTCTTCTTAACAACAACTTTAACTGAAAACGTTGAAAATTATTTAAGTAAAATAAATGAAATACAATTATGTATGTAGGGACTAATGGAAACCCCAATGATGAAACCTTTAGCGAGAACTATAGACAAACGAAGATAAAAATAACTTACCATCTTGACTATCTTTGCTAGACATACTAACAGCTTGTTCATCTTCCTTCTTAACCGGCACCAAACCCTCCAAAATGAGTAACATTTGCCGTACAACATTGCATTGTAGGACGGGCATAAGTAATTTTAGATTCTGGGTACCCCAAGAAAATACGGGAACAAAAGTACGTTCAAATAAATCTGAGAAAACTGTTTTCTCACCAGGAGCGCGATTTTTAAGCCAGGCCTGGACAACTGTTAAACAAGATTATAAATATTTTAGGGTAAAAATATTTAAAGAAAAACTTACTGGGTCTGGAATCCAAACCCGAAGAACTCATATATACCATGCCATTGCGTGAAACGGTGGCCGGTGAAGCATTGTCAATATTATGAGGTTCGAAAATAATTTTTCACTGTAGGGGCCATGGTTTAAGCGATCGCCATTGGCCAATGTTAGAGTTTTATTATCATCGAGCACAGAGTTTAAATTTTCAATCCATATACTATCCACGGGGCCATCTAAAACCAACCAAACATGTTCACCACTTTTTATTTTCAAAGTTTTACGCCAAAGTGCTGAGAATATGCCATCAGTCCAATCATTGGTGGCCACATCTAAACGACCAAACATTTGAGCTGCAGTTATGGCCTTCGGATTCATGCGCATCTCACGATGATAATCACCCATTTGTGTTAAAGCCTTCATTAAAGTATGTATACAAGTAGTTTTGCCCGCGCCACTAGGACCCAAAGTCATAATACCATGACGGACATTTTGGGTTTCATACAGTTGTATAAGCTTAAGAACCCAAGGAGGATGGTAAACCAAATTAGCTTCTTCGGCCTGCTGGGCTATAGCAGCCTCTAGTTCAGGGTAATTGGTCTTTTCAAGGGTCTGGAAATGTAAAGGAAATGTATGCAAAATGTGTATGTTATTCCTTTAATGAATATGTTACCTGATTGGGAAACAAATCCGACACCAGTGATATGAACAATGGCTCATCATCATCTATTAACTTCGATAGATTCATATCACGTAGGACTCGCATCACAATCGTACTCTCGCTATCCTTTGAGTTCCTTCGCTTAGCTGCACCCAATGTTCTCAATACAGATAGTATGTTACGTAAACCAAAATCATAATGAACTTGTTTTGTCAACTGTTCTTCACACAACTTATAGAGAGTATAGAATTTACGTGCCAGTGTTATATTTTCCAAGAAACCACAGGAGGCCAATTTAACGCGTATGATAATTTGACGATCGGGCACCATCATGGCTACAGTACGAAATTGTATTTTTAAATTTTCTGGCAACTCTTTGCGACCAGCATAACCGGGATTCTGTAAAAGAAAATTAAATAAATCTGGTATAAAATGGTGGCTCATATATTTTTAGGTATTATTTAAAAGTGAAATACATTTTTAGTTATTTCGGGCCTAGGGTTCCGCAAAAATGGACTAAATTGCATTCCCCCAAAACAATTAAATTTTATTTGGAAATGGCCAAAAACTAACTACTAACGAACTAATAACTAACTAACTAACTAACTAACGAACTAACGAACGAACGAACGAACTAACTAACGAACTAACTAACTAAAACGAACGAACGAACAAAACGAAGAACGAACGAACGAACGAACGAACTAACGAACGAACTAACTAACTAAACGAAACGAACGAACGAACGAAAAAGAAACGAACGAAAGAACGAACGAAAGAACGAACGAACGAACGAACGAACGAACGAACGAACGAACGAACGAACGAACGAACGAACGAAACGAACGAACGAACGAACGAACGAACGAAAAACGAACGAACGAACGAACGACGAACGAACGAACGAAAACGAACGAACGAACGAACGAACGAACGAAAACGAACGAACGAACGAAAACGAAACGAACGAAGAAACGAACGAACGAACGAACGAACGAACGAACGAAACGAACGAACGAACGAACGAACGAAACGAACGAACGAACGAAACGAACGAACGAACGAACGAACGAACGAACGAACGAACGAACGAACGAAGAACGAAAACGAACGAACGAACGAACGAACGAACAGAACGAACGAAAGAACGAACGAAACGAACGAAAGAACGAAAGAACGAACGAACGAACGAACGAAAAACGAACGAACGAAAACGAACGAACGAACTAACGAACGAACGAACGAACGAACGAAAAACACGAACGAACGAAAGAACGAACGAACGACGAAACGAACGAACGAACGAACGAACGAAAGAACGAACGAACGAACGAACGAACGAACGAACGAACGAACGAACGAACGAAACGAACGAAGAACGAACGAACGAACGAACGAACGAACGAACGAACGAAGAAACGAACGAAATACGAACAACGAACGAACTGAACGAAACGAACGTAATCGACAGAACGAACGAACGACGACACGAACGAACGAACGATACGAACGAACGAACGAACGAACGAACGAACGAAAGAACGACGAAACGAACGAACGAACGAACGAACGAACGAACGAAACGAACGAACGAACGAACGAACGAACGACGAACGAACGAACGAACGAACGAACGAACGAACGAACGAACGAACGAACGAACGAACGAACGAACGAACGAACGAACGACACGAACGAAACGGAACGAACGAAGAACGAACGAACGAACGGAACGAACGAACGATAAGAACGAACGAACGAACGAACGAACTAAACGAACCGAACTAACGCGATACGAACGAACGAACGAACCGAACGAACGACGAACGACACGAACTAATCGATACTAACTAACTAACTATACTAACTAACTAACTGAACTGAAACTAACGAACTAACTAAACTAACTAACTGAACTAACTAACGAACTAACTAACTAAACTAACTAACTAACTAACTAACTAACTAACTAAACTAACTAACTAACTAACTAACTAACTAACTAACTAACTAACTAACTAACTAACTAACTATCTAACTAACTAACTAACTAACTAACTAACTAACTTCCGAATAGAACAAGAATCTGTTTTTGATATATTTCAAACACCTACAGTAACTTAGTTGAATCTCAACCGATTTTAAGTTTCACAAGGGATTTAGAATGAAGAGGCTGACATATATACATATATGATGTTTAAGTATCCTGGAGAAATATGTGTGCATTTCATAAGAAAATATATTTTTGATTCTAGTTTAAAAACAAGTAAGAGTGTATATTTCGGCTGTGCCGAATCTTGTATACCCACCATCAAATCATTGCCAAAAAGGAATGCTTCCTTATAAATAAACTTTGATATTTAAGAATCGATGCTTTTGTTATTATCAAAACAATTTCTCATTTATTACATCTATGTATAGAGAAATTTTTGTCGAATTTTGTCGCTGTACTTGTATTTTTAAGGTAGTAAAAAGAGTTAAAGTTATTTTCTGAGAAGGACCTTATTTTGGGGGGACGATTGGTCAATTATGGACCGATCCTCGTCAAATTTAGAACGATTTTAGTTTAGGCTAGTAATGAGCGTTAAAGCCATTTTCTGAAGGGGACCTTATATGGGGGGTAGGATTAATTATGGACCGATCGTTATAAAATTTTACAATTACATTAAGGTTCCTATAAAATATGTTTATATCGATTTTCATCGCTATAGATGCTTCTTTTAGACAGTTATGAGCCTTAAAATCCTTTTCTAAAGGGGACCTTATCTGGAGGGTAGGGTCAATTATGTACAGATCCTTATAAAATTTTACAAAGATATTAAGGTTCCTATAAAATATGTTTATGACGAATTTCAACGCTATAGCTGCTTCTTTTAGTCAGTTATGAGCGTTAATGTCATTTTCTGAAGGGGACCTTATATGGGGGATAGGGTCAATTATGAACCGATCCTTATAAAATTTTACAATGATATTAAGGTTCCTAAAAAATATGTTTATGTCGAATTTCATCGCAATAGCTGCTTCTTTTAGTCAGTTATGAACGTTAGTGTCATTTTCTGAGGGGGACCTTATATGGGGAATAGGGTCAATTATGGACCGCTCCTTATAAAATTTTACAATGATATTGAGGTTCCTATAAATATGTTTATGTCGAATTTCATCGCTATAGCTGCTTCTTTTAGTCAGTAATGAGCGTTAATGTCATTTTCTGAGGGGGCCTTATATGGGGGTAGGGTTAATTATGGACCGATCCTTATAAAATTTTACAATGATATTAAGGTTCCTATAAAATATGTTTATGACGAATTTCATCGCTATAGCTGCTTCTTTTAGTCAGTTATGAGCGTTAATGTAATTTTCTGAAGGGGACCTTATATGGGGGCTAGGCGAAATCGTGGACCGATATTGCCCATTTTCAATACCAAACAAACTGCATCAATCTAAAATATTTGTGCAAAATTTCAGCTCGCTAGCTGCTTCCGTTTGGACTCTATCGTGTTTTCAACAGACGGACAGACAGACGGACGGACATGACTAGATCGTCTTAGAATTTAATCCAGAATATATATACTTTTATGGGTCTTAGATGAATATTTCGATGTGTTACAAACGGAATGACAAAAACAATATATTTATGTTGTATGAGTAAAACGCAACTTTGTTTTTAAAAATCAGTTAGCAAGTAACGACGTTATTGATATTTTTTTAATACAAAATTTTTCAATAACTGATTTTCTAAAGGATGCTTTGTATGGCGATAGGGTTAAATATGGGCCGATCCTCATAAAATTTGGTGGGAGGATTTATGTTTACATAAATGTTATTTCGGCAGAATTTCATCCTGATATTAATATAATTAAGAATCAGAATCAACTGAGTTATTGACATATAAGAGCTTAAAGGTTCGAAAAACCGTTATTTTAACCGTATCTCAAGATTTTGAAGGTGTTCGACAAATTCCAAAAACAGATTCTTTATCCACTCGGATCCATCTTTCAGAAAAATAGTATCACTTTTCAAGTATTTATTTTTGTCGCACAGTGTTATCTGTTAAGTATTGTAATTACTATTTATGTGAAAATTTTCATAACGATATCTATGTAATTAATAACCAACCTATTGTTTTAGACTTAGCTCATATTATTTGCAAGAAAATTATGTCTTTATCCAAAAAAGTATCAAAATTAAAATAATAATCTTAAGAAAACAATAAATCTAATAATGTAATTTATAGCAGTTATATTACTTTTCACAGATTTAAAAAAATCCTTTGTTTTATTTAAAAAATACATTTAAGTGGTTTCTTCCTTTTTATGAGGCAATAAGTATTTTATAAAGAAATTTTTCGTCTTTATTATCATTTTTTGAACAGCAATAAAACAAACATTTGAAAATGTGATTTTTTCTTTATATTCGTCTACATTCGAATATTTGAGGCAATAACAAATCATAAATTTACTTTTTTACAACCAGTTTTTTATTGTTTAGATATTGTAAAGAATTTCAAGAATTTATGTAAACACTAGCCTGTCTTTAACAATTTATTCCTGATATTTGATATGATATTAAAATCCTCCCACTTAGGGAAGGAATTACGTGTAAATTGATGTATATTTATTTTTAGTGGGCTGTCACAACACATGTTCGAAAACATTTCCATGTGTTGTGCAAATAATTCAGTTAACTCAATATTTCAATAATTTGAAGTTGAAACTGAATAAAAAAGGGAAAAAACGTTTTAAGGAAATTGTTTATTTTTACAGAGAAATACTCTACTAACTATTATAAGTGAAGCATTTAGAATGTATGTCAAGACGTTTGTTTAAGTGGTTGGAAACGTTTCTCACGTGTTTACTTTTTATATTTAATCAGATCATGTTGGAATATTTCATGGATTTCTAAAACGCGAAAATATTTTTAAATTTTAGGAAGAAGACTTGAAAGTTGTTAGCATAAAGAGATTTATTGAAAAGGGTTATACGTGTATAACGTATAAGATCTAGAAACACACATGCTTTGAAACTAAAATTAAACTAAAATTAAAGTATGAATGTTTTTATACCCTACTAGCTATACCCAGTGTGCTTCGCTACCCTCATCGTAATGGAATAAAATAAATATTATTGTAAATGTATATATGTATATCTGCAATATCAAAAAGTCCCCTATTTAAATTTATGTTTATATATTCAATATTTTAGAAAACTCAAAAAGTACCAATGAAGTACGAAAAAGTAACAAAAGACCTCTTTTATTTAATTTCATGTTCCTAAATTCAATATTATAGAAAATTAAAAAAGTACCAGTTGAAGAACGAAAAATTACCAAAGGGTCCCCTTTTATAGATTCTCATTAACTCCGGGCTCCACATGGTTAATTTCATGTTATAAAAAACACAA